ATTTTTTCCTTTACTTTATTTAGAATAATTATGTTTTTTATCTTTTATCGTTAAAGCAACCCAACTCCACCTCTACCTACCATTTCCCCACCACCCATCACCCTTAACCTCACCCTCACAACTTTATTCTTACCCTCATATTAACACTCACAACAACACAACAAGGATCACCATTAATCGTATCTCGTGTGACTCCCTTCCTCTTCTCTGTGGGTACTCCTGTCACATCCTTTTTTCTCTAGTGAAACCACCCCATCCCTTTTCTCCACCCTCATCCACCGTATGTAACAACTCGCATGATGAAAACATGAAAACCTATTTCATTGAAATTGATGAACCAAGAAGAATCAACGATTTCCCTTCTATCTCTCTCTACTTTTGGTTGAAATCGCCGAGAAACACAAAAGAATCAATGGTCTGGTGTGGGTGGAGTTCCACGAGCACAACTTTAAGCTTGTTTCTACCTCACTATCTCAATTCACGTCTACCTCTCCCTCTTTATTTCTATTCATGTACTGCTAAGCGTGGAGGTATTCTTAATTTACAATTTATGGGGACAACCTTGGGGGGAGTTGTTTTATCTTTAAAAAAAGATCTTAAATTAATTTTAAGAAGATATGTAACAATACACAAATTGAATTCTTTTGTTAACATTTTAACACAACCAAACAAACAAACAAAAATAAAGAGATAGGGAAGAAGGATCAAACTCCGGAATCCAGAGTGGTTCACCAAAGGCTAGTCCACTTTGTCGAACACCCTCAACACACACGATCCACTGATATGTGAGTTCTTTATGGTAGAACGAAACCATTGTACAACCAAATCTTTTACAATGGAGATGCAAATCTTGAGTAGAAACTAATCTAACACTTCCAAGCTAGATGAAGTCTAGTGGATCTTACACATACTCAACTTACACTATTGTGAATATCAAGTGAAGCTTTGTGTGGTATCAATAATCTCCTTTTCTGATCTCTCAAATATAAATGACTGGAGAGATGTTGAGATTTAAAATATTCTCAAATATAAATGACTGGAGAGATGTTGAGATTTAAAATATTCTCAAAAAAGATAGCAAATTATTACTTGAAGGATTTATTTCAAATTGTCAAAGATAAAAAAAATGTTTTATTCTCATATTTTATAAAAAAAAAAACAATTTTAAAATATTAATCAGTAATGAACCCTATTAGAGATTTTGAGGAAAGCCACTCAACATTACCAAGATTTTATTTGTCGATTCAGAGATTTAAATACTTTGTGCACTCTCAATATATATCTTCAAGTTCGACTTCACACGCTTTTCGAGGTATCGACTTGTTGAACGTAATATTACATAACATGTACAATGAAATAGAATGTTGAATAAAGATACGAGTCGGTTTTTTTGGAATCATTCAACACATTTATAGAGATGTGATACACTTGCACCAACAATCTCTCCATTTGACGGTGATAAACGCAACCGTTAAACATGAGAGCATACACAATTTCTCTCCTTTTTTCGAAGCAAAAAGGATCGTGAAAGACGCTAGGCTGCCCCTCAAGAGATGCTCCCCCTTAGAATATGCATAAAATTGGGAGCAACAAACATGCCTAAACCAGATTTTAGTTTGAAAAACTTATTTTTGTTTAAGGCTTTAGTAAAAATATCGGCCAAATTATCTTTAGAATTGATTTTTTCAAGTACGATTTGGCTGTTTTGAACATTATCTTTTAAAAATGGTGTCGGATGTCAATATGTTTGGTTCGAGAATGTAATATTGGGTTTTTATTTAATTTTATGGAACTTGAATTATCACACATAATTGGAGCTTTGGTCAATTGTACCTCAATATCGGTAATTCATCAAAAGTACTTGAGCACATGCACTAGTGACGGCTATATATTCCGCTTCGATAGCATACAATGCTAAGGATTGTTGTTTCTCGGTGAACGAAGACACAAGGGAGAGACCTATAAAGGCACATACTCTACTAGTGCTCTTTCGATCAACCATTGACCCACCAAGATCGGAATCGGTGAAGCAAATTACCTCCAATTCGGGTTTCTTTGCATACCATAATCCGAGAATCATTGTACCTCTAAGATATCTAAAGATCGCTTGACGGCTTCATAGTGATATTGTTTAGGCGAAGATTAGAAACGAGCACATAAACACACATTATACATGATATTCGGTCTACTAGCAGTTAGATAAAGTAAACTACCAATCATTCCACGATAATTTGTTTCATTAAAATCGTTGCCCTCCTCATCACGAGATAATTTCAAATTAATGGTCACCGGAGTTTCAACATGTTTGATATTTTCGAAATTAAATTTCTTCAATACGTCTTTGTAATATTTTGATTGGCTTATAAAAGTCCCATTTTCAACTTGTTTTATTTGCGATCGTAAGAAGAATTTTAATTCTCCCATTATGCTCATTCCAATTTCACTTGTCATTTTTGTAGAAAATTCATTGCAAAAAATTCATTGCAAAGTTTTTTTTTTCCATTCCAAAGGGTCTTCGGCCTAGCGGTATGTGAGTCCTTGGCTTTTTAGGAGGTCAAGGGTTCAAGCCTCACCAAATGTGAGGAGGGTGTGTGAGTTTATTTATTCTATTTGCCGTATATAAATATTATATACTTCAAAAAAAAGTTTTTCATTTGTAGAACCAAAAATAATATCATCAACATAAACTTGCACAACTGCAATATCATTATGAACATGCTTTACAAACAAAGTACTGTCATACCATGCACTTGGAGTTTACTTTAAAACATAAAGCGCCTTTTTTTATTTAAAAAAAGGAGTCATAAAGAAATCGTTTTTTCGTGTACATTTGAATGAATGAAAGAAGCGATAGTGAAGTTGGATCCAAGTCTCTAGGGACATTTCGAGAGATTAAGGTAAATAAAAAGTCTCCCTATCGTAAGTCATTTTGCAAGGAATTCTTTAACGTTTTCCATTCCCATCATCACAATGCTACTTGCATCTAGACGAATTCCTTGGTTCAAGCAAAAGAGAATGTAGGCTTGGATGATATTCACAGTTTCCGAGTCAAGATCGGTTGAGATGTTATTGAGAATGATTTTATGCCAAAACCTTTTCTGATCCAAAAGACACATGTCTGGAATAGATTTTGAGACATAAGGAAGCTCTTGACCATTTAAGAATCTTTTCGTGACCATGACGATTATCCAGATTTAAAAAAAAAAAAAGACATGTATATTGTTTGAAATTTATCGTCATGCATTGGTATTTCTAGAATATTAAAAAACATGGCCTAGGGCCATTCAAAGGAACGACCATAAAGATCCAAACCCACAAAGTTAGACTCCACGAACTTTAATCCAGAATAAAATTCAACGATATGTTCTTAAAAAAGAATTCCATCCATTTCAAGAAACACAGAACCAGTCGATGTTAGAAAAGCTTGGGATAGTATCAAAAATATCATTGGAAGGTCAATCTTGCACCCGTGAATAACCCTTTAGAATTTTTTTTTTGTTTTTAGGCAATTTTTCTTAGAAATTGGATTACGATCTACGACATTCCTATTGATTCGAGTAGATGAACCCTGCCCATGGAGAAAAGAATTTATAGCTATTAACAAAAATGCACTTTAAGAATATTGATATAAGGAGCTAGATAAAGTTGATAAAGATATACTTGCGATATATTTGTGATAGGCATGAAAATAGATATGTATATTCTATTCCCTTGATTAGCACCCTTTATTTGTAGACAGTGATCCCTATAATCATGGCAGTAAATCAAGGGGTCCAAGGGATGCTTTTATAGATAAATATGGAGGGAATAAGAATTTGGGAATTCGCGGTGAAACACTTTTATGGTATCAGAGCACATAACCCTAATTCCCTCCTCTTTACGGCAGTACAAATCTGTCGCGTTTAACACAGCCACCAACCAACGTTCTTTCTTCGTTTTGCTCCTCCCTCCTTCGTCTATCATCCATCCGTCATTCCCAACAATCAATCGTCCTCGTACCATCCTGCTCTCGTTGTCTCAAACATAAAATCCTTCATCTCAATCATATTGGAGGTTGAAAATGTTCAATATTCCTCTTGGCTGAACCCTTCAAAATACATGCTGGAGCTTTCCTCGTTCTTGATCATATCATCCCACCAAAAGACTTACTTTGATTCGTAGTTGTGAGACTTCTATGGGAGGAAGAGTTCAAAGGATGGGAGCAACAAGAAAAGATACGAGATATCTTTTATAAAAGGGATTCGAGACAATTGAAAAGAGGATAATACTTATCATAGATATGCAATTTCATCCTTACGAGTGTCACATTTAGTGTATAAATCATTTTCAACTGCTCTTTTCTCAAAGCATGCAATCTTTTTATTTAAAACAACACATAAAGATCAATGAATGAAGATTAGTTGATCACTATCATCTTAACCCCACCTTCCCATCGACACACATAAGATTAGTGAATGCCTCATGAACACATCCTAATATGCATATGAGAACTTGTACTCTTCTGTCTCATTACACTTGCTAATGGTTATATGAAATACTTAACACAAGTTGTAGTCGCATTGTCTGGTGGCAGTGGCTGGAGATAGGCAGAACCGCATAAGGGAGGGCAGTGAAGAAAATGAACGATATCGGTTAACGAAGATTTTTTTGAGAGGGACGACATGAGCTGTATATACACTCATATATAATATTCTTTTTATGTTTTTAAAAGGAAAAAAGTAAAAGGACCATATTGCCCCTGATTAAATAGAGCAAATGTTAATGAGGTTAGGACAAGGGAGCTCATTCCTAATAAAAGTGAAACCATAATAACTGGACATGTAACTATTTTATTTGGAGGATCCAATTCGTAATTCTTATATAACCATAGGGACTAAATCTGTAATTATTAATGAATGATTTAAGGGGGCCGGGTTTAGGTTACCGCTGTAAATCCGAAATAATATGACAGAAACCCTCATCGGCACATCCGCAACCCCATAAGTTTAGGGATAAGCGAATCGAACATTCTCGTCACTGGAATCGAACATTCTCCTTTTTCTGTATTTTATGGAAGAGGAAGGAGAAGAACAAGCTGGAGACGACGATTCTTCTCCCACCTCTCTCCTCCATCACGGTTGCTCCATTGATTTGATCGATACATTATATTAAATTGTTAAGAGACAGAATCGGAGGAACAAAGATTCAACCCCATCTGTTTATCATCGATATTTATTGTAAAAAAGGAGCACTTCGATTGACATCTATTAGAGGGTTTGAAGGGAGGGGAGATAGAGAATGGGGAAGGGGAACCCATTCTCGTTTCGCCGAAGCAGTAGCAGTAGCAGCAGCAGCACAACCAGGCGTCGCCGGACCACGAAGAAGGTAGGCGAATCTTCTTTGCTTCTGTCGAACCAATCGGCCAATACGCCGTCTCCTTCTTCGCCGGCTAACGTAGGAGATGTGCGGGAGCCGGCTGGGCCCGGGAAACCAATGGTGGTTGCGGTGGCGAAACCCAAGAAGAAGGCTGGTGGAGCGAGGTTGTGGATGCGGTTCGATAGGTCTGGTGAATCAGAACTGTTTGAGTGTGATAAGAGCACGATCATTAAGCGGGCGGGTATTCCGGCTAGGGATTTGAGGATTCTTGGTCCTATTTTCTCTAACTCCTCCAATATCCTTGGTAATTGCTTTGATTTACGCTTCTGTTATTAGGGCTACTTTCTATGATAACCTCATGCTGAACTGCAGCTCTCTACTGAAATTCACTTGCAATAAGATGCAACATTTGTGAAACCGATAATAGATTTCTGATATCAGTATTACATGCTTAATTGAAGTTAGAACATTATCTAGTTGTGCTAGGCTGCTAGCAATTCTGTCTAGCCATTAGACAGGATCTTCTAGTTTATCTGCTGGATCCGTCTTCTAGTCGTGTGCTTAGGGCAGCTCCAACCTTCACACCAAAAAAACACCAAATAGGTGGGCCCATAAACACCAAAAAAAACTCTTAACTCCAACCTTTTGCCGTCCATCTCTTCCACGGCAAATTTGCCTTTCATTTCCTTCCTTCGGCAAAACTTTGGTGTTTTTGGCGTACGGCAAAACTAGGGTTTTGCCGTTCGATTGGAGTTGCTCTTAGTCATGTTAACTTCTTTTGTCATATTTATTTTATCATCTAATTTATGGGTTGGTTGTGTTGATGTAGAGAACCTAGTGAATACCTTATAGTTTTCACCTTTTTTTTAGAGGTGGTTGGTTTTTTTGTGCACAATGGTAGCAGATTCAGTTTTAACTACTAGAGGGTAAGAAAAACTCCGAACTTGTTCTTGTGTCAGGCTGCTTTTGCTGTTCAGACCCACTTTATAGCAAGGTTTTTAAGGTGGAAAAGGGACTCGAGGCATTCTCCCTTGACGAGGAGTAACCCTAGAGGCGTCCCCAAGGCGGAAATATATATACACCAAAATATGTATATAAACACTACACAAATATATATATATATATATACACACACACACACATGCAATATATATCATACTAAATTACTAAAAGAATCTACACACTTTTCTCAGTCACGAAATATAGAAATAGTAACAATGAAAAAAATATATCAATCTACTAATTAACTATATATACATGTATGTATGTATGTATGTATTAATATTGCTCACGACACGTAAAGAAAAAATATTAATATGTCAACAAAGTGGGACCTTCAGAGACTAAGTATAAAAGTGCATATAAATATATGTGATACTCTGGTGAACTGGACAAGAATTGAAGAGGAGAATGGGAAAGCTAGAACTCACAAAGGACAACAGCCGAGTAGCATATAGGGCTTAGGAGCACCAGAGAAAACTCGCAAAAGTTAGAACTCGAGAAAGTTGCAGTCATATTTTTAAATCATTTAGCCTCTGTAGAGAGGCGTACACTTCTCCACCCCCTCACTGCCTCGGTCACCGCCTCAGACCACGGACGCGTAAGTCTCATCCGAGGCTTGAGAGGCCCTGCCTCAGGTGCAATTTTGGGCCGCCTCGCCTCGAGGCGTAAGCCTTATTTGCTTGTTAGAACCATGCTTTATAGTCTTTGTGATTTTAATAAAGCGTCCTTAAATGTTGAATCCAGGTTCATCTACATGCAAAGAACACACACAAACACACACTCGTTTGCTTTCTTTTCTAAAGTCTAAACGCATGCTAGATATAGATGCACTACAGTACCGTGAGGCTGGTGTATTATGCTTATCCTATTTCCACTCAAAAAGAGAAACTGAAAAGCCAATGTACCACATATATGTATGATGGCAGTTTGACTAACATGGGAAAAAAGAGAACAATCAATCAAATGGTGTTTAGTGATCTAGATAGGTTACATTGTTTACATAGGTGGTGGGTACATTAAGAAAGAAAATCTCTACATAATGCGCTAAAATTAATTGAAAAAGAAATTCAATACCATGTAGATTAAATTCAATGGAAAATCACGTTTTCGTCCATCAACTATAACTCTTCTGGCCTTGAACTAAGAATGTGGAATATGTACATCCAAAATGGAATATGAATGGATGATCTTTGTCTTTTTTTTTTTTTTTTGTCAAATCTGGGAAATTGAGACAATGAAGGGGATTGTTTAATACATGGGAAGCTTGACTGATGGGTTTGAATGTTACTCCAATCTTTTTCTTGCAGGCTTGCAGTTATTTAGTGTTTATTTGTGTGGGAGTGCTAGGCCTGCATTCTAATTATCTATATAGTGGGATGGTATGCTGCGTGTTATGTGATGTTATCTTTATACCATTACACTTGTATACTATAGAAAATGTTTGTAACAATTTTGCTTTGTTATAGCTCACTTGAGTCCCTAAAGCTCTTTTACCATATATATTTATGCTATGAAAAACCCAATCTTATGTGGATTTGCTTGCATATCATCTGTAGCGAAGAGAAATATATCATGGTAAGTAGGATATTTAGGCTTTAGAGTAACTCTTTACGAGGAATTATAAAGTATTTGCAACCATAAGAATATCTTCTGCTGTAAGCATCAAGCACAGAGGACAGTCTATAAGCCACTGAGAGTTTTTCTCTAGTATTAGTAATGATCTTTTTGTGTTTGTGTGTGCATGATGTGTATATATATTTATATATATGTTTGACAGAAGAAAGGGAGGGATGTAAGCTATATTAATGAAGAAAGCAGAAGGAAGTACTTGATGGGTGAAAGAAATGAAAACATGAATAAAAAATGGGCAGTTCTCTTAGCTAAATACTATGTACACCACAAATACTTTTCTTTGAGCTGCAAACTTAGTAGCTACAGGTTTTTTTTCGTGCTCCATGTCTATGATGCTTATTAACATGTTCCCTGAACAAAATTTAGCTTCATTTGACCTTAAAATACATTTTTTTTAGATTTGTAAACTTCCTTGAACCAGTATGTGGAATGCTAGAGTTCTTGGGCTAAACATAAGTAATTCTGTCAAGTGTCAACGAGATGTCGAGGCACAAGCTATCGTAAAAATTTGGTTTCCTGTGTAACCATGTATACCTGATTTTGTTACAGAATCCTCCAATTTGTGGCCAACTGGCTATTCACATGTGTTTCATTGTCTAATATCTTCAGTTCATATATTTGTCGACAATCATCTCAGTTAATAAGAGTGCTGTCTGTGTGTGTGTCTGCTGAGTACTCTTGCACATACTTCTTTTGTTGCTCTGCTTCTTTTGTGGGAGAGTGATTTGAAGCAAAAAGTAAATCTTTAACACCTTACTTGTTCATGCAGCTAGGGAGAAGGCAATGGTTGTTAATTTGGAATATATAAAGGCCATAGTCACGGCAGAAGAAGTACTTTTGCTTGATCCTTTACGTCAGGAGGTTCTTCCATTTGTGGATCAATTGAGGCATCAACTTTCTCGTAAAAACCATTTCAATACTTCTGGTACCCAAGGCAGCCATCAACTTGCATTACGTGATACGGAATCAAACTTACCTGCTTCTGGAAGATGGCTACCTGTAACTGAAACTGCCGACGGTTTGCAAGCTGAGCTTCCATTTGAATTTCAAGTTTTGGAGATTGCATTGGAGGTAGTGTGTACTTATTTGGACTCGAGTGTGGCAGATCTTGAGAGGGATGCTTATCCTGTTCTAGATGAACTGGCTAAGAATGTCAGCACCAAGAATCTTGAGCAAGTTCGTAGTTTGAAAAGCAACCTTACTCGTTTGCTTGCACGGGTACAAAAGGTATTTTCTATTAATGCTCCTCTTCTTTTTTGCTTAATTTGGGTTCTGAAATTTTGTTGTCGTTCCATCTATTTTCTAATTAAGGGTGCACCATCTGTGTATATCCTGACCTGGCTGCTGGGTTTTAGAAAAGATTGATCCAGCCTGGTCCTGATTACCTGAGTTTCCGACCTGATGGTCACGAGTAATGACTAAATGGAATATTTTGCTACATGCATTTTGTTGTGAGATAAGTAGCGACATGATATCTGTTTGTTTATTTCATTTTGTTAAGTAAAAAAAGAACAAAATCTATAGATTAATTCTAAAACAACAGCACAATTATGCAATAACTTTCGGATAGCTAAATTAACCATGCAATGATAAAAAAGCATGGCCTATAAATTGAATCGAAGACATAACTGCACCGATACAATGAGAAATCTATAAATTATGTGTTTGGATCTTTTTTGTTGCTTGATTATATTAGATGGAAACTGCCCTTACATCATAGCCTGCGTATCCCATGAATAGTAGTATCAATGGTGTTAGAGATATACAACATTTATTATTTTTGTTCTATATTTCATTTTGAATTACTTTATGCAAAGCCTATAGCCCAGTTATGTACTTTAGATGCTCCAATTTTGCTGTTTAAAATACACAGATTTGAAAACCCCTTTTTGCATGGGTATCGGAACTGCTACTCTGGATACACAAGTAACACAACTGTAGGCCCCCACCAGATGCTGCTGCTGCCTAGATAGTCCTTCCTGCATTGTGTGCTTTCCCTCTTCGGTCACTGTCAGCGATGCTGTCAACAGATGTTTTTGCTCTTTCTCTGGCATTATCATCTGCCAGATCATCACATAGTGCACCATTAAATCCCTTAAATTCTTGTGATTCATTTGCATAACCCATTGGTGTGCTAAAGGCACTTCACAACCTTTTGCTTCAGTTTATCTTTCGTGAGAGTTGTGTGTCTTGTCCTTTCTGATCTCTGCCCTCTACTGGTTCATCAACCCACACAATTTTTTCCTGCTCATCATTTCTGATGTACTCAATAGGTATCGACCTGTGTCTTTTCTGAAGCACCTTCGATTTGCACGTCAGAGTGAAACCCCATGGAGGTTTTTTTATTCGCAGCTTTGTATTGATACAATCCATGTTTGGAGTTGTTGCTGGTCTAACGTAGGAATGTAGAACTCTTGCTTCGCGGCTGCTGTGCTGCCCCTTATTTGTCTGATCTAGTATTCTAGTCTGCTGTGTTTAGTAGTTAATTCCTGTTCTATCACAGCAGTGGTTCTGTTGTGGTCTGGTTCATTAATTAACGGTGCTTTGATTTAAAATCTAATCTCAATCTGGTAGTGCTAATATGGCAGAATTTTGGTTGAGTGAATTGAGTATATTCTTTTCAATGAGTAATTGCCTTGTGTTTATGACCCAATGTATCATTTGCAAAGCAAACTCTTGGGATTCTATTTTTATATCTTTTCATGGAACTTTTTGTGGCTTTATCATAGTATTTGGCATTTGATTTTGTTTCTATGGAGTAATCATGGTTTTGGATGGGAAAATAAAGAAAATTGTTGGTGCCACCTGGTTCATATGTCAAGGCAGATACAGTTGACCATTGAGTTAAATGACAAAAATTGGAACCAAAAGTCACCATCTCACGAGGTGATCTCAGCTGAGTTACTTGGGGCTTCTTTATTCCACAATGAGAGTGTTGGTTGTGGATGATGACTTGCTGTATACACTATTTGGGGCTAGGAATCCCATCTACGCCATAGTATCAATGATAAACCCCCATGGGATCATTTTGGTTGCCTCCCTCTGGTTCTACTTACTCTTGTGAGGCATATTGTAGGTGCTCCGAGGGTAATCGGACCTTGGGTGGGTGTTACATCTATACTATCTTATTAAGCAAATTTAGTAAAAGTCTTAAAGTCTTAAAACACTAAATGACCAAAATACCCTTTATATTCACTTTTTCACTTTTTTACCCCCCTCCTCACATACACTCACCCTCTTACAACCGATTTTTTTAAAAATTATAATTTTAAATTTACACTTTATACCCCTATAATTAATTAATTAATTAATTTACTTTACGTCCTTTACTTTTAAATGTTTCATTTTAACCTTTATTAAATTAACATACATAATCGTATATCAATTAAAACATGTTTAAAAGATACAGTTTATTTTTAACAAGTTACACCATTATAATCGTTTCGTTAATACCTTCGAAATTAGTCCAATATTGAATAGTTTTTGACTTAATTATATTATTTTATATTATATATACTGTGAAAAAATATTTTTAATATTTACGATTTATACTTTTATAGTTATTTATTTATATATATATATACTATAGATTTTGGGGTTAGGCTGTCTAAATTGCACTGTATAATATGTTTTGAATTAATATGTTCTTGGGTTTTTTTGAAATATATATATACATGTATTAATTCAACCTTAATCTGAGTTTCTGGACAAGAAAGAGGGYAAGCAGTTGAAATTTCATTCTAAAACCCATCTTTTTTTGTTTTTTCATGGCTTATGATCTGCCAAATTTGTAGTTTTTTTTATTGGTTTTGAGTGTTTACCTTAAAACTCAAGTTTCTTGGTTCTTTGTTCTTGGTGTAAATCGAATACATTTGTGGAGTCGTTTAAATATGTTGGATTTTGAATATATTGGATTTTAAACTGTCATACAATTTTTTTCATCGATAGTCTGTAATTGGAACCATAACTCTTATTTATTCAAATTGTATTAATATGCAAAGACTAAGTGTAACCTATATCATCGTTAAATCTTATCTTATAAAACCAGTGAAACTTCAAAATCGTTAAAATTCATGGCTCTCGCCGCATTGCATGGGTACACAACTAGTACTTAAAAGATAGCACATTAGTTTGGCAAGTGTTTTTCTTTGAGTTCAGATCTACACTTAAAACAATGCTGCAATTTTTTGACTTGTCAGTGGTTTCTGTTCATGTCATGATTTTATCTGTCATATGCTATTAGGAGACTTGGGTTACTAACAACCACTCTATCTATTATGTTGTAATTTGTTAATTTGTTAAATGTCTCACATGGTCACATTTGCTTAGAACTGTAAAACAAAATCTGTTTGAAAGCAGTATGAGTTTCGTATGAAGAAGTAGAAACAACTCAAACAAGAGAGTTGGAAAGGTTAACCTAAAAGAGAAAAAGTAGAGGACCTTTGGTTTGTATATCTTCAACCAGTAAATTTCCACATACCAAGAAGCACCCTTGGCTAAGATGTCTATCATCATGGTAGGAACACAGCCCTGTTCTCTTGTGTCAGGAGGCGTTATGGTCTGATTGTCAAAGTACCAGCCATCAACTTTACGTTACTGTTAGGAAGAATTCACTAACTTGTAATCCGCAGCACCAAATGTTGTTATACACTGCTTCCTTGAGATCCTAGCATTCTCCGTCTTCACGAACTAGGAACATAGTCGACTATCAACACGACAACCTCATTACAAATAAATAGTAGATCATATGACACATTTCTTTTTAAAGTGATTTGAGATTTTTCATGCCTGATCAGAGAATAGCTAGGCCGCTATGAGAATCAGTCACATATTATTGTTTCTAGAAAAGTCGGTAATAGACTTTCATAATTTGAACCATCTGATATCATATTACCGTAAAAGTAATAGCTGTTTTTATATGTTTGTTTGATCAGATTTACAATGAAGATAAAGTTATCTATCTGGTTTCAGGTAAGAGATGAACTTGAACATCTTCTAGATGACGACGAAGATATGACGCAGTTGTATCTAACAAGGAAATGGTTACAGAATCAACAAAGTGAGACTTTGTTGGGAGGTGTAGGTTCTAATAGCCACACCAATAGTGCACACCATCTACGCCGACTTAGTTCTGTCAAGAGTGTAAGTATGCTGACAAGCATAAATATGAGTGACAATGATGTTGAGGATCTGGAGATGTTGCTCGAGGCTTATTTCATGCAACTTGATGGAACTCGTAACAAAATCTTATCGGTGAGTAAAAATAACAAATATTTTAAAAATAAGTTTTGGCCACTTTATTAATGAATGTATATATTTGACCACAATATATCATGCTCCAATCACTTGTTATCTGCCATTTTCAGCCAAAAAGTAAGTGAATTTTCCGGTTGGTGCTTAATAAAATGAATGTTTTTGGCATAAAGCAAGACAACTGAGCAATTGTGTTTATATATAACGACCATTTACCTTTGGTACAAGTTGGGGGTCTTCATGGAAACAGACATTCTACCCTTTCTTCCCAGACCCTGCTTCTGAGCGTATATACTGGGTCTGTTTGGCTTTTTATAACAAAGAGAAGACATTAATACTTTTGTTGTTAAAAAATTGGTGTAGGTTCGTGAGTACATTGACGACACAGAGGACTATGTGAACATTCAATTGGACAACCAACGTAACGAGCTTATTCAACTGCAGTTGACGTTAACTATAGCGTCATTTGCTGTAGCCTTCGAGACCCTGGTGGCAGGATGGTTTGGCATGAACATCCCTTGTCGTCTATATGACATCGAGGGGATATTCCAGCAGTTTGTTGCAGGGATTACGGCCGTTTCTTTCTTGCTCTTTCTTCTCGTTCTTGGATACGCTCGATGGAAGAAGCTGCTTGGTTCATAATAACACTAACCCCCTCAATTCAACTTTTGCATCCTGCTTTATTGCATACCATCTATCATATCTATCATGCTGTTCCATGATAACGCTTGTTCCAACTACATCCTAAATCCAAATCTTCTTTTTTTTGGAGTATATATGCCAAATATTTATGTATATATTTTATTTTTGATGAGACTTTGACCTGCATTGACCTTTGGGTTACATTGACATAATCTTTTTGCTCTCATGACTTGTACTATAGACTTTTCAATGTATTCTATGTACTTTTAATTGATTAAACCAGAACTTTACCTTTGTTGATGTAGAGAGTGTGTATTTACTTTTGAAAGTGGACCCTTATTTTGATGGTTGAGAATCTTATCTGGTTTGGTAAGCAAGGGTGTGTGAAACCCGACCTAACCAAATTAACTCGATCGCACCCAAACCGAAAATGCCACATTTTCTTGATATTCGAAAATAAAGAAGATATCCGAGGAATAAACAGGAATGTAGAACTGGTCTGAATATCCAATAAGATAGTAACCTAAAATTCTAGATTAGTTTGCATTAACATATACAGATGTACTGAAGTAGTGAACAGTTGCATGATGCATTGAAAATTTTAAATGATTGGATTTAGAATCATGAATTCATTATTGATCATGGTATGGGATTATAGAATGCATGCAATAAACAGTGATTTCATTTGTATGCATGTCGTGGTCTCTTCTCATTCATCATGCCACATGTTTAGCTATCTTCATGGCTCTACCCTCTATGTAATTATGCATACAGTTATCTCATTTTTATATTTTAGATGTGGTGTACTCTTGTGCCCCATATGCATGCCATCGTCCCAACAAGCCAACATTCCCAACTCTCCACTCTTAACTCCCATTCTGACATCCATTCATGTGTGTATATATATATATATATATATATATTTTAGATTTTAGTCTTCTATATTTGACTTCATACCCTTGCAGGGATCTGATTTCTTTATGTTTTGTATGTGGTGCTGCAATGCAGGTCATCGTCCCAACCCCTAACTGTAGGGGTGTTTATGGGTTGGATTGATCGGGTTGAAGATATTTAAATAACCCAACGTTTACGGTTTGAAAATCTTGAAAAATCTTAACCTAATCCAACCCAACCCAAACCAAACCAAACCGTACGGATTGATCAGGTTGATACTTTGGTACATTAAAATATTCATCTAACCTTGAATATGTATTTTCTATGCTCATAGTTTCTTTTTCCTCATCAATGATTTGTTACAACTTATCCATGCTTCTTATTTATATCACATTCAATTAACTTTCTCAATTTACATATATATGTTCACAATTACTGAACATACAGAGATGGAGAATAAATTGAAAATATGTATATATATGAAAAGCGTACGTGGTAATGTAATTGAAACTCAACAATCATATTAAATCAAAGAAATAAAAAGATATCGAGTTCATCGGGTTGAGTTGAGTTCAAATAATAGTAACTCAATATCAACTCAATACCTACGATTTGAAAATTTTACAACTCGATTAGATATCAGATTGCTTCGGGTTGAGTTATTTCGTATTGGGTTGGTCGGGTTTTTGAGCATCCCTACTCAGCTCCATGATGTGATCAGTTTTTTCCCAACCCGATTTACCTGCCTAAACCCGCCCAACCTGATTTCCCCCAAACTTGATCATAAACTATCCCCATTTTATATACCCATAGGTAAGTATGATTGGTAATTCTTAGAGCATCCACAATTGAAGTTTTTGTTGAGATTCATGTTGGGTTTTTTAGAACGTGCAATGTGGGACAGAAGTTTTTGTCCAGTTACAAATCTAATAAGAACTCAGGTGCTTGAACAAGAAGCCGGATTATGTCTACATTCCTTTTTATTATTATTATTATTATTATTATTATTATTATTATTATTATTATTATTATTATTATTATTATTATTATTATTATTATTATTATTGTTTTTTTCGT